AGGAAATGGGTGGGTGGGTTGGCAGCTCATGGCTGGGGGGGGGGAGGCAGCCCTGCCCCATGGGGGGGTGGTCCCAGAGACATCTGGCTGTGAGGAACACCCCCCCAGGACAGTGTCTGCAGGTGCCAAATGTATTTCTCCCCCAGCCCTGGGGAGCAGGAGGGTGATGATTGCCCAGCTCACCCACCTTGGGTGCCCTTAACCTGGGTTCTCTTCAGAGAAGGGAGCTGGGCAGGAGGCAGCACATGAACCCCCCCAGCCCCAGAGACACTCCTGGGCACAGCACAGGACCCTGACACCCCATTGACACCCCCCCTCACTTTTTATTCCTCTTCCAGCAGCACTTGTGGGAGCAGCAAAGGTGAAGGGGGGAGAGGAAAGGAACATCTGGAAGGACCCCAGAGCCTGGGGGGGGATGGGGTGGTGACAATGGGTTGTCCTCTCTCTCTCAAGGGCGGATCTGTGGGTGCTGGGGTCCCATACCCACCTCAGCTGGGCATTTCCAGGGTGACTTTCTTCCCCTTCTCATCCATTTCCCAACGATCTCATTCCCTTGATTAACCCCCACCCAGCCCAGGCTTCCCCCACCGTGCTGGGGATCCTTGTGTCCCCCCCAGCACCTGCTCCATCCTCTGAACACTTCAAGTTTGCACCAAATTGGAGCCCCCCAAGAAAAAAAAAAGAGGTCATTTCAGTGCCTCTGACCTGGGGTGACTGGGATGGGAGAGGGGCAGGAGGGACCCACGTGTGTCCCGGCGCGTGGCTGGGATGCTGCTTCCCTGGGGCTGCTTTGGAAAAACCCAGCTGGGGTTTGGGCTGGGGCTGCTGGTGGAATTTATCCACCCTCAGATTCTGCCACTGGTTTACGCCTCTGGTTTTCCTGACCTTGTGTGCAGAGTTGCCTTGGGTATTTTCCAGGGTCGGAGCAGAAATGTGTCTCTCCAGAAATAAAAGCCCCTGATTATTCCAGGCTGAAAAACAGGAGCAATCCAAGAGATGGAACAAAACCCTTCCAGCTATGGAGCCACACAAGGGAAATGGGGGGGTGGGAGAATATGTGTGGGATGGATTTAAGCTTAAAGACAGGCTGGACCTGCAGGGAAGGAGGTTTTTCCTCCCTGCTCAGGACCTGAGCAAACCCCTGGCAGCAGTGACTTCGTTTTCAGTCTTCAAGCTTGATGGATATTAGTGAGAATTGGGGTGTTTTTTTCAGGAGGTTGGCGTGGTGGTCACCCAGCCCTGGTGGTACAGGGGACACAGAGTGATGTGGAAAGCTGGGAAGATGTGGCTGCACCAAGGTTTGCTTTGGTTTTGAAGGCCAAGCTGCAAAAATCACCAGGTCCTTCCTCAGCGTCTGTCCGAGGAGGGGATGTGTCCAGGGCTGGGAAGGGAGAAGATGCAGGAGTGTTTGGCCACTGTTTGCTGCCTTCCCACGGTTTGCTTGGCACCTGGCCCAGCCTCCCTAGTTAGAAAACCAGAAATCTGTATTTCTAAGGATCTAATCTGGCAGTTTTTGCAAACCTGGCTTCGCTCAGAACGGGCTCGTTCAGCATCTCATGAAAATTTGATTCCCTTTTATTTTGTTGTTGTTGTTCCTAAAACAAAGAGACATTTCCAGCACCCAGCAGCTGGAGAGGAAAACCAAAGGAACAGAAAGCAACCATTAAATATTTATTTTCAAAATGAGTAAGAAGCTCAACCTGGGAGCAGGGATCTCAGGATTTCTATTCCTTCTGCTTTTCAGATGGGGAAAATGAGTCACCAACCAATGGCCAAGGGGAACTGATGAACTGGAAGGAATTGCATGGGGTGTTTTTTTCACCTTTCAAGGGAATGAAAACCTCTTTACCATCCTTCTCAGCCTGGTTTTTGCTCCCAAGTGGTGCAGGTTTCCCAAGACAAGGTGTAAGTGTTCACAGAGGGAGCAAAGGACCCTGGAAGCCTCTTCTGAAGCAGCAGAGTCCTGGCTGGATCCCATCCCTGGTGTGCCTGGGAAGGAAAAGCTCGCACATCTGCCCCATCCTCCCTTGGAAACAGGAGAAAGTCGATTCTTCCAGACCCCTTGGAGGCTTTTTCCTGCTCTCAGTGATTTTGTCTTCAGCTGCCTTTGGAAGGAAACCAACCCCACCACTTTCTCCCAGGCTCTCCAAATCGTTCCCCCTTTCCCCTTTCATACTCCAAGAAAGGAAATCACTAAAAGAGCAGGGAAATGAGCCTTTGGCAAAGTTTCCTACTCAACTGCTCAGCACCAGGGTGCTGTGCAGAGCCTGAAGCCCTTCATGGGAGCAGGATGGACTTTCAGGGAGCTGCTCTGATGTCTCCATGGGGGGATTTGGCTACTCCTGCTGCTCCCAGCTGGCAGTTTGAGGTCTATTTGCCAGCACAAACCCACAGCTCCAGACCCAGGTGGCTTCTTTTCAGCTTCAGAGGAAGCCAACCCCTGCCCTGGTGGCACTTTGCATCTGAGAGTGATGCTTGGAGGGAAACCTTGAGTCTTTACCCCCATGTACCCTGCAGCTCACCCAGTTAGGGGGGTCCTTTTGGGGTTCCCTTTGCACCCTCATTCTTGTGCTGCTGTTGGAGATGAGTTTTCTCAGTATATTCGGGGGCAACATCTCATCCCCCCTGTGCCAGACCTTGCACAGACCCTCTGTGCTGGCTCTTGCTGAGATGATTTAGCAGCAGTGACAGGAATTGCACGTGCTTGGGGTGGGGGGGACACACTGCCTTGTCCTGGCCTCTGTGTCCCCTCTCACATTGTTCCCCTTGTTATCTCCCCCCAGATGCAACCATTTGGGGCTGCTTGACCTCTCCTTACTCCACCCAAGGAGGTCCCACCCATTAAAGCAGCACCTCTCATGGGTTGCACCCAGCCCTGGTGAAGCAGCTTCACCTGGGGGAGACCTGGGGGGAGAAGAAGAAGAGGAAGAGGAAGAAAAGGAGGAGGAAGGTCAGAGTTCTCCCTTCCCTCTCCTCCCCTGCCTGTCCCTGCTGGTGGTGGCAGAGCTGTTCCTCCTTCCCAGGTGAGTGAGGTGTGGTATCTCTCAGGTGCATGAATTAGGGGTGGCTTTGAGTGAGGTGGCTGCAGGGGTTGGCTCTGCCACTGCTCAGGCACACTTGTCCCATGACAACCTGTGCCAGGACACCTGTGTCCCACTCCTCTGTGTCCCACTCCTCTGTGTCCCCTACCCCACCCTGAGATGCAGGGACCTTTCTTCTCACCCCTGCCTTGCCAGGCACCTGGATGTGTGGCTTCTGCCCCTTCCTCACCCCCTGGCTTGTCCCCTTGCCTTTTGGGCAAGGTTTATCCTGAGCCTGGTTTATCCTGGGCCAGGTTGATGCTGAGTTTGGTTTGTCCTGCCCCAAGCACAGCCCTGGTTTCTGCTGGAGCCTCCAGAGCTACTCAGGGTTTGGACCAAGCAGGTTTTCCCAGAGCCTGGGCAGCAGGGAAGTGTTCCTGGGTTAAACCAGCACCTCCCAATCCTGGTTCAGCTGCTGGTCTGGGCTGTGGGGCTGGAAAAGAAGACCCAGGAGCAGGTGAACAGAGAATCCCTGCCCTGCTGCTCTCCTGGAGGCTGTTACCTCCCCCCCCCACCCCACAGGGCTCTGAGCAGCCCCTGTGCCCACATGGCAACCTCAGGGAAGGGCTATTCCCCTCCCTGGCTCGTGGCCACCTCCCCAAGGCTCCTGGCTTTGCTCCTGACCTGCTTTCCATTATCTGGGAATGTGGCTCTCACCAGCATATGGGAGGCAGATTTTGCCTGGGGGTGCAGAGGGGGGAGATGGGGCTGCCCCTGTGTCTGGGGCAGGGCAGGGACCACGGGGCTGGTTGTGGGGCAGGTTGTGTCTCCATGGGGTTTGGGAGTGAAGCACCTCCAAGTGCTCCCTCCCTGCAGCCAGCTGCCCCCCCTAAATCCAGGCCAAATCACCAGGGGAACCTGCTTTCTTGACTCTCTTCTGGGGGCAGACAGGGATGGGGAAGAAATCCAGGTGGGATTCGAGTTTGTGAGCTGCTGGTTCCCTTGCAAAGCTCTGCTGTTCCCAGCTTTATCCCTCCATGAAGGGAAGGTTCCAGCTCCCCAAAGTTGAACCAAAACCATCTTGGTGCATCCTGGGGTTTGTTGGGCTTTTTTTTAAATGTATTTTTTCCTTTTTCTTGCTGACTGGTGAGGTTGTCTGAGGCCTCCTGCTGGGGCTGAGGAGGGCTGTAGCAAATTGGTGGCTCTTTGCTGGAGGTGCCAGTGGCCAGAGGGGGTGTGTGGGTCCAGCAGGGGTCTGTCCCCATGCTCCAGGCTGTCCCCCTTCCACCTCCCACCCCCCAGCCCTTCTAGAGCTCCTTACAGCAGATTCCAGATGAAGCAGGAGGCCACTCTCTCCCTCCCCAGGCTCCCATAAAGAAGGGGAAGGAAGTTTTCCAGGGCCCTTTCAGCCTCCTTTCCAGCTCTTATTGTTCTTTATTCCCCTCCTTCTCCTGCACTGACCATAAATCAGGTTGTTCTCCCCAAGGACCATCTAGTGCAGCTGATCCCACACATCAAGATCACCTCCCAAAGCTCCTTCCTTCCCTCTCCTCCCAGTCTGGGATGCAGGGAGGATGATGGGGAGGGAGATGCTCATTCCCACCTTTCCAGGTCCCTTCCTGGGTGCTGCAGGTAGGAACCCTCCAGCTCACCCTCCACAGCCCAGCTCTGCTCCTCTTTTCCATCCCAGCTTCCTTCCCAAGGGAGGCTGAGGATCAGGAGGAAGCAGATTAACCCTAATGGATTGATTGTAGTTATTTTCCCTTCTTTATTCTCCGTGCAGGAGCCTGGAAAAAAAAAATAGGGAACACTCCTGTGTGTGCACACTCCTGGTCCTCATTATGTTTCCTGCTTGGAGGGACCCAGGCCAGCCTGAAATAAAAGCAGCTACATTTGAGCATCCTATTTCAGTCTCTTACAAGCTGTGATGTGTAAATACTTCTGTGTGCAAACCCACAGGCCAAATCCTGTGTCAAGCACCTTCAGCACCAGGTCCCTCATGTGTCCCTGAGGACACAAACCCTCCTTGGAGCCACCAGAAGCTCCCTGGGACAAGGGCCAACCTCTTCTTTGAGGGAAGCTTCACCTGTCACTGTTCCTGGGGGCTTTTCCCCCTCAAATTTGGTTCCCCTTGTGAGTGTTTAGCATCAGAAATCCACCCTTTGTCTGAGCCCTCCAAGCCCTTCCTGGACTCCTTCCAAGAACTTGTCCTCACCAGAGTGAATCTCCCCACAGCTGGAGGTTCTGTTTGGGGTTTGGGAGGTTGATCCTGCACCTTGGGGTGCTGAGGGCAGCAGCAGGGTGCAGAAATAGGGACCTTGCAAACAGCAAATGCTTCAAAATCAGAGGATTTGAGCTTTTTAATGTTCTTCTACAGCAGTTGATGTAGCTCAGAGGGCAGGAGGAAGAAGCTGCTCCCTCTTCCTGGGGTTTTTCCCCAGCACAGAAGGTCTCTCCTGGAGTGCTATCCCAGGAAGCACATCAGGAGCATGGTGGGGGATGATCCCAGGAGCTGGGATGCTTCCCAGCACCACATCCCCTGTGTAACCCCTGTCCCAAGCTGGGGTGGCTCCTGCCAAGATCCTGCCACTGCCTTCCTGGCCGAGATCCCAGTCTCCCAGGAAAGTCCTTCCCCACCCAGATAAGCTCAGGCTTCCCATTCCTGCCATGTATAAGGCTGAAATAAGAGGATGGGAAGGGAAAGGGAAAAGGAAGGGAAAGGGAAAAGGAAGGGAAAGGGTAAAAGGAAGGGAAGGGAAAGGGAAAAGGAAGGGAAGAGAGGAGAAAGGGGAAAGGAAGGGAAGGGAAAGGAGAAAGGAAAGGAGAAAGGCAAGGCAGGCCCTTGAAGGCTTCAGACCATCCTTCCAAGCAGGGAGTCACAAACCAACCACACGCCGACCTAGCGATGCTCTTTATTGGCATCCAACAGCTACACAGGACAGTGACCCCTCGCCCCCCACCTCATGCTGCTCACACCCCCCCACAAACCCCCCCTACTTCCTTCTACAACGGTTATTTCTTCACTGTGGAACTTCCTAAGGAATCAACACTGCTATGAGGGGGGGGGGAGTGGAGAAACACACGTTCTTCACACAACAGAAGAGTTAGAAAAGGACACAAAACGTACCGACGAGCACTAACTTTGGCTTGGTTTTCCCTCCTTTTTTTGTTTGTTTTCTGTCTTTTTACTCAGAATTTTCCCTCATTTCCTGCAACCAGGGGTCCGAGACATCCCCTGGCTTCTCTTTGGATGCTGAGGTTGTCTCAGTTCTCCTCAGCCCTGAGGAAATCCCTTTACTCTGGCAATTGAAACCTGAGACCGTAGCAATATTGTCCTGAAGAAAAAAACAATTCCCAGCTGGAAAGGTCCAGCCAGGTTGGCTTGTCAGGCTGAACTGGGCAGTTTGTTTTGCTTTTCAGCTGGGCACTTGATTCCAGTTGCCCTTAGTTTGTATTTGAGTCACTTCACCCAAAGAAAAAGAAGGAAGGACTGATGGGAACAACATGACAATAACCAACATTTACAGTTATCCAAAAGAATCCCTGTGGATGGTTTGGTTTGGCAGGAGCTGGAGGCCCAGCCAGAGGTTTGCAAGCTGGAGTTGCAAATTTGGGGCAGTTTCCTTGGGTTTTTAGTGATGGGATTGGTTCAGGAGTTGGATGTTGGACTTGGAGCCCTGTAAAGTGTTTCTAACCAAGGGGTTTGGCCTGGGCAACCAGTGGCCAAAGTTGCTCCTCCAAAGGGATCTTTGCTCTTTCATTGCACAAGAGCAGGAGGCATCAAATATCCCATCCTGGAGATCCAGATTCCACCTCTGCAGCACAGGAGGCAAAATTCCCAAAAGCTCTTTTGAAGGCTCTGGGCACTCCAATCCTATTGACACAGGTTCCAGTCCCTTGGGAAGTGCTGAGCTCTTCCTCCCAGCAGCTCCACTGGGAACAGCCAAATCCCTCTGTGTTCCCAGGTTCCTCCTGGACCTGCTGCAGTGATTTTTGGGGTGTGCATCTGCATCCCCATTGAGTCTTTAAGGCCAGAAATGAGGTGGGACCGAAGGCTTGGACCCCCAGAAATTGAGAGGAAGAGCAGAGGATCCAGGGTGGGCACCATCACCCCCTCAGATGTAGGAACATGGAGCAGTTAGTAAAATGACACAATACTATTTACAAATCTGGCTTCTCTCCGGAAAGAGGGGAGGAAAATCACCTTCTGCCTGCAGGAAAAAGTTTCTGGCTGAATCCAGAGGCGAAGGGGGAGTCCAGAGCTGCAGAGGGATGTGGTCCTGGTGCTGAGCACCACCTGGCCTTGTGGTCCTGCCTCTGCAAACAGCTCGTGGTGCTCCAGGCAAGTGAGATGTCAAAGCTGTAGCTGAGTTGGGGAACGTCCCTCCAGGACTGTGGTGGCAGCTCCCGAGGGGAACAGGGTGCTCAGCCACCCAGTGCTGCTCTCCAGCATCACCCTTGGGTGAGCTGGGTGCTGGGTGAGGAGCTGATATGGCAAAGAAATGTACTTATAGCTCTGGAGACACGGAGGTTCTGGGTGATGTCTCCTCCCCAGGGTTGCAGGAGGTGCTGGGGCCACCCAAGGTTGTCCATGGGGAGGCAGCTGGTGCACCCAGGGTGAGCAGCACTCACTCTGCACCCAGGTGGAGGTGAAGAGCCCACAGGGGAGTTGGCAGGGGTGTTTCTGAGCCCCTCTTCACAGTGCTGGAGGAGAAGGAGCCCTTAACAAGCAGGTTGTGGGGACCTCCAGCCCTAGCCAGGTCTGAGGGTGAGCAGGGACAGTGCCATAGTGGCAGGGTGGCTTTGCTCCTGGGTTGGTGCAGTGTGGGGACACTGGGACAAGGACAAGCAGAGCCCTTTTGCCATGTCCCCACTGCGGGCAGGCACTTCTTCAGCCCTTGAGACCTCCAGAGTTGCCCCCAGAGCTCCAGCCCTGGGGAGGTGGTGGCACCCAGATCCTTGGTCCCCAGCATTTGGGTGCTCCCAGCCCCTCCTCACCAGCTGCTGGCAGCTTTTGGGAGCATGCAGGGGGGGAGGATGCACCTGAAAAATTTCACAGTGTGGGTTGGGCTGCTGAAAGCCAAGTCCTTGTGAGTTGGGGAACGTCCCTCCAGGACTGTGGTGGCAGCTCCCGAGGGGAACAGGGTGCTCAGCCACCCAGTGCTGCTCTCCAGCATCACCCTTGGGTGAGGAGCTGATATGGCAAAGAAATGTACTTATAGCTCTGGAGACACGGAGGTTCTGGGTGATGTCTCCTCCCCAGGGTTGCAGGAGGTGCTGGGGCCACCCAAGGTTGTCCATGGGGAGGCAGCTGGTGCACCCAGGGTGAGCAGCACTCACTCTGCACCCAGGTGGAGGTGAAGAGCCCACAGGGGAGTTGGCAGGGGTGTTTCTGAGCCCCTCTTCACAGTGCTGGAGGAGAAGGAGCCCTTAACAAGCAGGTTGTGGGGACCTCCAGCCCTAGCCAGGTCTGAGGGTGAGCAGGGACAGTGCCATAGTGGCAGGGTGGCTTTGCTCCTGGGTTGGTGCAGTGTGGGGACACTGGGACAAGGACAAGCAGAGCCCTTTTGCCATGTCCCCACTGCGGGCAGGCACTTCTTCAGCCCTTGAGACCTCCAGAGTTGCCCCCAGAGCTCCAGCCCTGGGGAGGTGGTGGCACCCAGACCCTTGGTCCCCAGCATTTGGGTGCTCCCAGCCCCTCCTCACCAGCTGCTGGCAGCTTTTGGGAGCATGCAGGGAGGGAGGATGCACCTGAAAAATTTCACAGTGTGGGTTTGGCTGCTGGAAGCCAAGTCCTTGCCCCCAGCTCACCCAGCCCCTTGGCACAGCCCAGCTGTAGGACCAGCCCCCTCCTCAGCTCCCAGTACAGCAGCTCCAGTTCTCTCTCTCTCCCCAGCCCAGTCCTGCCCTTCACCTGCAGTTTTGGGGGAAGCAGCTGGATTTTTTTAGGGTGCTGGAGGGGAGCAGGAGACAGTGGCAGGGAGGGCCAAGGAGGAAGGGTGGGAGCAAGAGCCTGGAGGGGGAAGGAGAAGAAGCTGGAAGGGAGAGAGAGGAGGACTGAGAGATGCTGATCCCCGTGTCTGTCTGTCCTGCTGGGGCTGCCAAGGACCCTCCAGCAACAGGTGGGCTTTGGGTGGCCCTGAGCCCTGCACCCACCCTGCTCAGGGGCTGCTGGGGGGAGGCGTGGGGAGGGGGTGATACCCAAGCCAGGAGCTCAGTGCGTACAGAGCTGGGAACCGGGGGGACCCGGGGAGCCCCCGCTTCCTGCCCACCCTCCCCTGCAGGGCTCTGGGTGCCAGGGACGGGAGAGGCGAGGGGGTGAAGGGGAAGGGGGACCCAGGGGGGTCACCCCGGGCCACCCTTCAGACGGGGGAGGTGGCCGTGGAGTCGCTGTCCAGGCTCTCGGCGATGTCCCCGCGCTGGATCTTGCGCAGGGCGGCCAGCAGGACATCCAGGGTGGCCGTGTCCTTGGAGGACCAGTCGGCCAGGAGAGCCCGGGCAGGAGATTCCTCCCGGGTGAAGGAGTCTATGAGATCTTCTTTGTAGCCCAGCTCCCCAGCCAGCTGCCTCCACGTCTCCTCCACCGAGCTGCCCAGCAGCTTCTCCACCTCCTCCCGCTTGCTGGCTGGCAGGTTGGTGTAGAGGTTCCCATCTCCCTTGGGTGCTGGGGAGGATGAAGAGGTGTTAAGCCCACCCTCCTGGGGTTGCCCCTTGCCCACCCTGCAGCAGCCAGTTGGCCCTACCTGGCCCCTGGGTGCTCTGGCTGGGTGGCTGCTGGCCATGCAGGCTCTGGCTGTCCACAGAGATGCCACTGTCACTGTGCAGCTTCTCCCCCTCGGGGGAGGGTGTCTGGTTCACCGGGCGGTTGTTGGCCCCTTGCTTGTTCTGTTTGCAGCTGTTCCACCTGCAGGGAGAGCAGAGGGGAGGTGACAGCCAGAGGTGACATCCCCCAGGCTGAGAGCAGGTGGGTTGCTTTGTCCCCCCGCCTTTCCTTGGGACCACTTTTCCCAGGAAGCAGCATTTCTCATGCAGCCTCGCCCTCCCCACGTGGCAGCTGGATCCAGGTAACTCAGCATTCCCAGCTGCTGAGAGTGCCAAGCTCCTGAGTTTTGCAAGAGACCCGGGCTGGGTTCCCTCCTCCCTGCAGCTGC